GCAGCTGCATAGCTATGTGAGTGGGATCCTCTATCCTGGGTCTCGATTTAGCAGTTCTGCAAGTGGTAGGGGACAGAGGGGGTGAGGACACACAAGGGTCACTGTCGTAGAGAGGAGCTGAGAGCCTGGGATCTGGGGTGTATTGAGAGTGTTCCCCAGGGAGAGCGGAGGGATCACTCCGCAGGCCGCTGGTTCCATCTTTTATCCTGGAGTCCTGGGCCGCATAGAAATCAGTCAGCGTTTGCGGCTGACCAGGTGATTTCCGGCGACGGGGCATAACACTTGATTGTGGAGGGGAATGTACCCACTCGTCTGGGATGTGTGTCCCGCTAGTCACAGTGTTGCCGCTGGTAGAGCTGGAGTGCTGAGTTCTGTTAAGGAGCTTCCATCCAAAGAGCTGGCTGGACACGTATAAGTATTGGGATGCCTGCCTTTATACGCACATGAACTTTAATGGTATCCCAGTCTTTCTCCGTAGGGATCAATATTGACTTGGCCCACCCTTAGCACCTATAACAGCTTCAGCTCTTCTGCGAAGGTTGTTCACAAGGTTTAGGAGTGTGTCCATGGGAATGTTTGACCATTCTTCCAGGAGCTCATTTGTGAGGTAAGGCACTGATGTCGGACGAGAAGGCCTAGCTCTCAGTCTCTAGTCTAATTCATCCCAAAGGTGTTCTATCGGGATGAGGTCAGGACAGTCAAGTTCCTCCACCCAAACTCCCTCATCAATGTCTTTATGGACCTTGCTTGCCAGAAGGGGCCATCCTCAAACTGTTTCCACAAAGTTGGAAGCATAAAATTTTCCAAAATGTCTTGGTATGCTGATGCCTTAAGAGTTCCCTTCACTGGAACTAAGGGGCCAAGCCCAACCCTTGAAAAAAAAAAACCCCACACCATAACTCCCCCTCCACCAAACTTTACACTTGGCACAATGCAGTCAGGCAAGTACCATTCTCCTGGCAACCGCCAAACCCAGACACATTCATCGGATTGCCAGACAGAGAAGCATGATTTGTCACCCTAGAGAACACTTCTCCACTGCTCTAGATTCCAGTGGAGTTGTGCTTTACACCACTGCATCCGACGTTTTTGCATTGCACTTGGTGATGTAAGGCTTGGATACAGCTGCTTGGCCATGGAAACCCATTCCATGAAGCTCTCTATGCACTGTTGTTGTGCTAATCTGAAGCCTACATGACGTTTGGGGATCTTTAGCTATTGACTCTGCAGACAGTTGGCGACTTCTGCGCACTGTGCGCTTTAGCATGCGCTGACCCCGCTCTGTCATTATACGTGGCCTACCACTTCGCAGTGAGTTGCTGTTGTTCCCAGTTGCTTCCACTTTGTTATAATACCACTAACAGTTTGGAGTATTTAGTAGCAAGGAAATTTCACAGATGGACTTGCACAGGTGGCAATCTATCAGGTTACCACGCTTCAAATTACTGAGCTCCTGAGAGCAACCCATTCTTTCACAAATGTTTGTAGAAGACGTCTGCATGCCTAGCTGCTTGATTTTATACACCTGTGGCCATGGAGGTGATTGGAATACCTGAATCCAATGATTTGGAGGGGTATACCAATACTTTTGGCAATAAAGTGTATTTAGGAAAGGGGTAGGTGCATGGATTAGCAAACCTAAATTCATTACTTATATTAGGTCCACTTTAAATGGAGACAATAATATCTGGATGCATATTTTGCCATAAACTAATTTGTTATGTGAATTTCAGTTTTTACTTCTGTAGTTGTACTATATTTTCTATTGTAGTTCTCATTCAGTTTTGTAGAGTTTCCACCCTGCTTGATATCTGTGCATCGCACAAGTCTGAAAATCATCCTTGGTAATCAGTTGCTGAGATAAAGTCATTTACAGGACAAGTCACACTGAGAAGCTTTTGTATAAATCAGCCTTCAAGTTGATAGTCTTGCACCGAAAGACAGGAACAATAACGTACAATCTCCATGCAGGGGACTAGGAAGCACACCTGGTTCATGTAACAAACAACAGTAGAGTTGTGCATCCAAATAAGGCGAAATCTCGAAACAAAAATGAGAAGCTGCGCATTACGCCTCAAAAGGGACCTGAAAAGTAGAAAGCTAGCGCGGATCCCATCATGGGGGTAGATACTCAAGGAGCTCAGAGCTCTGATGAAGAAGGGATGCCCTTCAAAACGCATCAGCTGTACTGAGTTTCTACCCCATGATTGGATCCGCGCTGAGCTTTCTACTTTTTTTCAGGTCCCTTTGAGGACCTATATGCCTGATTTTATTCGCTGTTTGTGAGTATTATTTTACAATTAATAAACTTTGGTTACTGAGGTAATGCGCAAGGTTGGTGCGCTTCATGTAACAAACAAACATAGCCACCCCATTGTATCTTGTGAAAGAAGCATTGAAAAGCCCAATTTGGCTAGTGTGCAGTAGATACCTGAGAAACTAGAGTAGTCAAGCACAAGATGAGGCAGCTGTCTTTACTGGTCTCTTTCATTGAGAGTCCTTGCAAACTTAGAAGTCAGAGAATGTGGCTCTGCAGAGAGACACAGTGTGGTGGCAGCTATGACATGTAAGAACTACGATATTCTGGGGACAATGACAAAAAAAGGATTTTGTCTCTCATTTGGGGATCCTGGTATACAAATAAAATGTTACAAATTGAAAAAAAAAATACTTGATCACATTCACATGCACAGTATATCTTTAAAATGAAAACAGATTGTGTTTAAAGCTGAGATTTTAGGATTAGTACTATCATGTTACACATGCATTGTTGTTTGTTTGTTTTTAAATAATTTTGTCCTTTTCCTCACTCTGTAGCCAGGGGATGTTCTATGTAGTTAGTCCCACCCTTCTTCTTCAGTCTCCATTCATCACATGTGCTGTATTCTACAGGAACTAGACACACTATGATTTTTTGACCTATCTGATGTTCATCTGTTATGATCTGCACAAGTTTTTTGAATTAAAGCTTTCTATGATCCGTAGGATGTCCATTTGGATTGAGTCATTGGAGTTGATTTTCTAAAGGCAAAGTCTGTGCACTTTGAAAGTGCAGTTGCTTCAGAGCTTAGTAAAGGAGGGGAAGCTTTGCTGACTTCCATCATCCAATCATGTGCAAGCAAAAATGAAGTTTTTTTTAAAATTTTGCTTGCATGAGATTGTGTATTCTTTGCAAAGCGAAGCGTTGCCTCATTTACTAAGCTGGAGCAAATGTCCTTGTAGAGTGCAATTGCATTTGCAAAGTGCACAGTCTATTTCCTTTTAATAAGTCAAGTCAATTGTCTGTCAAGCGGCTAGACTGTAGGTTAAGCTATCTCACTACAACTGGATCGGTTATCGAGATCAAACTTTCAGTGCATAGACTCCTGAAGCAGAACAGGCATCCTTCTGAAAAAATGCCTGAGCAGACTGGCATCAGCAGACAGGAACAGTAATGCACAAGTACTGAAGAAGTCTACTGAACAAGAACACATCTGGTGTATGTAACAAACATTCAATGTGCATACATGGCCAAAGCTATATTTAAAAAAACAACTAAAAAAAACACAAAATAAAAAAAAAAAAAGATTTATATTAATCTAAATAATATAGATTTATGTTAAAGCAAAAGTCCATAGTGAATTTGTTATTATCCTTTTCTATTCTAGCAATTTGCGTATGTGTTGTACTCCCCATCTCACCTGCAAAACACTTCTCTATGTTTGGCTGTCAGGCCTGGTACATCAAATGATAAAGTTTTGCATGCAGAAGAAGCTGTTTGACTGGTAGGCTTCCATCAGCCATGTCTGTATCCCTCTACTGATTGTAAGCTCTTTTAGGCAGAGCCCTCTGTATTTTTTTCAAGTTAGATTTTCTGTGTTGCACCTAAATTATTATTATGTAAACTTGCATGTTCATTGTGTAGTACTGTCTAACATGTTGGGCTTTATAGTTAAAGGTTATGATGCATGCAGTAATAACAGACAACTCAGAATTTCCAACGGTAGCACCTACAGTATTAGACAACCCTGGGCAGCCATATCTTGAGGAATGGCAGAGCTTAGGAAAGCTTTATTGTGGATCTGCTGAAAGTCTCACTAAGGTTGATAAGGTCCTCACTGTCTGTCCAAACAAATGCACCTGACATATTACGTTTATTGTTTCTTTTCCTCACCCATGTGGTTTTCCCCATCCCTCTCTTTTATGTTTTTTTTCTTTTCCATTGCCTTTCAGAAAATGTTTTTTCCTTTTCATGGTATATTTTTGTTCCATTGCCTTTCACAAATGCTTTGTTCAAAATGTAATGTGTAGGCTTTTTTTTCTCTTCATTTATAAGAGTCATGATTTAAAATTTTTTTTTTTTTACATTTAATTAGTATATATAATATTGAAAAACAAATATATAGTATTTTCATATTCATTCTGCTGGTAGCACACTACACTCATGTATTTACCTGTGTATCCATATCTGCCTTGCATAAAGAAACATGTTGTTTACAGAGCTCCATAGCTTAAGCAGACATTTACCCACAAGCAAATGAGTCAGGTAGAGTTGGCACAACCCAATGTCCCAATTAGGGAGACAGAGGCAGTGCTCCTCCTGCATTATTATGTATAGACAGCCCAAACTTTTTTCTTTTAGTTTTGGATAGAGCTATAAATGGTCAGGTTTTGTGCCATCTTTATCCTGTTAAGAAAATTTTCATTTATTTTATGCCTTGAAGATTACAACCAGAAGTGAGAAACATACTCCCCAAAATGAAAAATATTCACTAAAAAATGTTTTGGCTATAGCAATGCATTATAGAAAACACTATGTGTGCTTGACCACCAGCAGAAGCTTGTACTCATGTAGGTGTATGGGCATATTTTTCAAAACGTAAAATGTTATGTTTTGAAAAATACACCCATACACGTGTACAAGTACACATCTGTGTCAGGGTTATATGTGCACAAGGAGCCTTAAAAGGTGGCAGGTTTCAATTTAGTTCTAATTTTCAATAAACACAGAAATAAATATTATAGACACTGACCGAGCAGAGGAAGTTGGCTCAGTGGTTTGCCGATGCATCCGGACATTGTGAACACAGTTTTCCTTGTTGCCACTTTTGGCTTCCAGTGGGATGTCGGGGGAGGTATGGCTGATCTTCATTGATGATTCCGGAAAAAGAGGGGGCTGCCCCAAGTAGTTATCGCTGTAGTCATGCTCATTTGTATCACTGTCTGTATAATTCAGGTGCTCGTGTTCTTTGCTCCCTTTCAGGCCACGTTCTCGCCAGGGGATCCAGCAAAGCTTCCATGAGACAAATAAGGAAACTCCAAAGAGGGCAAGTCCACAGGCTGTGACCAAAAGGGACAACAAACTCACCGAAACATCTGGAAAAAAAGAAGACAAAATACAAATAAAAGTTAAAACACATTTCCATTTGAATTAAGCCAAATTCAAAAGTCTAGGTCCAGATATATTAGAAACACCATAGAAATCTGCCAGACTTTCCAATTTATTATGTCAGCTAGTACTGTACTGTAGAGTGATATAATACGTGACAATTATTATTAGAAGCCTATGCTGTTGCAGAATACATATGTACTATATATTCTTTGCCGCCAGGACTACATGTGGATATCAGCAAAAGACCTTCTTCCCTGCTAATGTGGTTCCACAAACCTACAAAAGGCTCATGTCAATGGGTGATTTTGTCCATGGCTGCGTTTTTCCATTCAAACACAATGCAGTCACTGAACTTCAATTTGTATCTCTCCTTCAAAGTCAATAGGATTTTGCTGACCTGTATTTGAAGTACGTTCCAAAAACAATGCCCAAAGAGTATAACTGTACTCATGTAGAAAAACATCCTGAGACCTGGGATAGTTGGTATGTTAGCAGTGAATCTGAGACTGTGCCAAATTTACTAAAAGCTTAGAGAGAGCAGTGTATAGTTATTATTGTGGCCACTGACAACAATGATAGTATTTATTACCACCACTGACACCAGTACTTGACCTCACACTTGAGGCCAGGAGCGGACTGACCATTTGGAAACTCGGGCACTGCCCGAGGGCCTGGGGTCAGTAGGGGGCCCCATGAGATGCCCCTGGTACCTTTTTCATAGGTTTTTTTGAGTTTGGGCAAGGACACAGGGGCCCCATGATCCCCTATTGCCCGGGGGCCCCATGAGTTGTCAGTCCGCCCCTGGTTGTCCCTGCCCACCGTTGTTCTTTAGTGAGACCAACAATAGAGTTTATATGTGGGGATATACTGTATATTCAACACCAGCAACAAAGTCAACTATCCTTGTATAGTTGTCCCTGTCCACTGGCTTTCTTTGGTGACACCAACAGTATAGTTTACATGTGGGAATTTATATTCAACACCAGCAGCACAGTCAATGGATCCATCCATGTACAGTTGTGTCTGGCCACCAGCTTACTTTAGTGACACCAACAGTACAGTTTATATGTGGGGCTTTGTGGGGCAACAAATCAATGGATCCATCCATGTATAGTTGTCCCTAGTCACTGGCTTTCTTTAGTGAGACTAAAAATACTATTTATATGTGGGGATTTATATTCAGCACCAGCAACAAAATTAATGGATCAATTGACTTTGTTGCTGATGCTGAATATAAATTCCCATCTATAAAATGCATTGTCGGTCTGTATCATAGGAAAGTCAGCACTACGACCACAACTCTCTTGTTGTCTCCGCCCTTTTTTTAAAAATGTATTTACAGTTTCTTTGATGAGGCCAGGTGACTTATGGATGATTGCTGATTGGTTATTGAAGGTTACCTCACATTTGTTCAATGCCATCATCTCAATCTGTAGTTATTCTAGGTATTTAATTTGATGTTTATGTAGAAGATATCAGTTTGATGTAATCTTCTCTCATCATAATACAAATCTATTGGTCAGCCGAATCAATGAAAATGCCTTGTGCGGCTGATATTTATTTCTAAGTTAGGCAGAGTCATTGTAAAAGTTCATCTATCTTGCCTCCAGACACTTATCTTCACATCTCTAAATTGAATACAAAACTTCAGGAAAGCAGGCATGTAAAAATCAGAGGGTTGCATTTTAAAACAAAAACTGCAATAAAGACTCAAAATATGCCTCAACTGAAAGCACATTATACGATGTTCAGGCATTACCAAAATTTACCCTCAAACCTCCATTTCCACATCTAGAGCATATCCCAGTCTTCTTCTCCCCCTCTATAGCATATCCCAGCCTTCCTTCCCCTCCCTCTAGAGCAGTGGTTCTCAACCTTCCTAATGCCGTGACCCTTTAATACAGTTTCTCATGTTGTGGTGACCCCCAACCATAAAATTATTTACCCAGTAATTATAATTCATGAGTGTCATTTTACCTCCAATACTGCTGCTTTCAACACAGTAGCTGCTTTTAACAGAGTAGCTGCTTTCAACACAGCAGCTGTTTTCTACACAGTAGCTGATCTTTACACATCGGAAATATGTGTTTTCTGATGGTCTTAGGGGACCCCTGTGAAAGGGTCGCTCGACCCCCAAAGGGGTCGCGACCCACAGGTTGAGAACCACTGCTCTAGAGCATGTCACAGCCTTCCTCTCCTCCTCTAGAGCATTTCCCAGCCTTCCTCTCACCCTCTAGAGCAGGGGAGGGCAACTGTGGCCCTCCAGCTGTTGTAGTACTACAAGTCCCACGAGGCATTGCAAAACTGACAGTTACAAGCATGACTCCCAAAGGCAGAGGCATGATGGGACTTGTAGTTCACCAACAGCTAGAGGGCCACAGTTGAAAGCATATCCCAGCCTTTCTCTCCTCCTCTACGGCATATCCCAGCCTTTCTTTCCCCTGCTAGAGCATGTCCCAGCCTTCCTCTCCCCCTCTGAAGCATATCCCAGCCTTTCTCTCCTCCTCTAGAGCATATGCCAGCATTTTTCCCCCTCTAAAGCATGTCCCAGCTTTCCTCTCCCCTTCTAGAGCATGTCAAACTGGCGGCCCTCCAGCTGTTGCCAAACTACAAGTCCCATGAGGCATTTCAAGATTGACAGTTACAAGCATGACTCCCAAAGGCAGAGGCATGATGGGACTTGTAGTTTCGCAGCAGCTGGAGGGCTGCCAATTTGACACCCCTGCTCTATAGCATATCTCAGCCTTCCTCTCCTCTAGAGCATGTGCCAGCCCTCCTCTCCTCCTCTAGAGCATATCTCAACCTTTCTCTCCTACTCTAGAGCATGTCCTAGCCTTTCTTTCCTCCTTTGGAGCATGCATCAGCCTTCTTCTCCTCTAGAGAATGTCTCAGCCTTCCTTTCCTCCTCTAGAGCATGCCCTAGTCTTCCTTTCCTCCTCTAGAGCATATCCCAGCCTTCTTCTCCTCCTTAGATAATGTCCCAGCCTTCCTCTCCTCCTCTGGAGCATGTCTTAGCCTTCCTCTTCTGCTCTAGAGCATGTCCTAGACTTCCTTTCCTCATCTAGAGCATGTCCTAGCCTTCCTCTGCTCCTCTAGACCATTTCCTAGCCGTCCTCTGTTGCTCAGGAGCATGTCCTAGCCTTCCTTTCCTCCTTCAGAGCATGTCCTAGCCTTCCTCTCCTCCTCTAATGCATATTCAACCCTTCTTCTCCTTCTCAAGAGCAAGTCTCAGCCTTTTTCTCCTCCTCTAGAGCATGTATGTGTTAGCTTTCCTCTCCTCCTCTACAGCAGATCTCAGCCTTCCTCTCTTCCTCTACAGCATACCCCAGCCTTCCTTTCCTCCTCTAGAGCATGTCCTAGCTTTCCTTTCCTCCTCTAGAGCATGTCCTAGCCTTCCTTTCCTCCTCTAGAGCATGTCCTAGCCTTCCTTTTCTCCTCTAGAGCATGTCCTAGCCATCCTCGCACCCTCTAGATCAGGGGTAGGCAACCTTAAAGAAGGGAGGTCTACCTGAACAATATGGTATAAGTCAAAGATCACTGGACACAGTGTCGCCTCCTCACGCCTGATTTAAACCTCTAATTGCCAAAATACCATGTCGCTAACACATGCATTGCACAACAATCATAGGTTTAAATCAGGTGGTGAGGAGGCAAAATATTGCTTCCTCACCACCTGTCACACACACTCAGATCACTTTTCAGAGGAGCAGCAGCCAAAGGTGTACACATGCCACAGCAGAAATTAAAAATCCCGTTGCTTTTGGTGGGTGCAAGTTGTGACCCATTCAAGTAAATGGGGCTATTCTGAAAACACCCCGCAACTGCATGCTTCTGCAGGGTCCAAGGGGTTAAAGCAGGTAGTGAGAAAGCAACACAATGCAGCCTGCTTTAACCCCTTGTTTGCTGTACTGCACAAGGTTGCAGGGTACTTGCAGAGTGGCCTCATTCACTTGAATGGATCATGCTTGGTAGGTGCTACACCCACCAACCATGAGAGGATGTATAACTCCTGCTGCGGCTGTGCCATGTGTGCACTCCTGGTCACTGCAGCTAAAGCCTGTGCAGTTTGGGTGGGGGTGGGTAAAAAAAATGTTTAACTATGAGGTATGACCTCCCCCCAAACTGCAAATGTAAATGAACCCTTACTGTTCTGAGCCCCCTACAATACAGCTTTTGCACTGATGTTCTTCGGTTACCTGCACTGCGGGTGCAGTGCAGTACGTCAGCAACTTTTCTGGGTTTAGAATTTTGGTGCACTTTCAGAAAGTGCACCAAACCTGCAGGGTATATTAGATGTCTATGGCTAAGCACAGCAATCACGTAATCCTTTTTCTCCTCCTCTAGAGTATGTCTCAGCCATCCTCTCCTCCTCTAGAGCATGTCTCAGCCATCCTCTCCTCCTCTAGAGCATGTCCAGCCTTCCTCTCCTTCTGTAGAGCATGTCCCAGCCTTCCTCTCCTCCTCTGGAGCATGTCCCAGCCTTCTTCTCCTCCTCTAGAACATGTCCCAGCCTTTCTCTCCTCCTCTAGAGGATGTCCCAGCCTTCCTGCCCTCCTCTAGAGCATGTCCCAGCCTTCTTCTCCTCTTCTAGAGCATGTCCCAGCCTTCCTGTCCTCCTCTAGAGCATGTCCCAGCCTTCCTTTCCTCCTCTAGAGCATGTCCCAGTCTTCCTCTCCTTCTCTAGAGCATGTCCTGGCCTTTTTCTTCTGCTCTAGCATATCTGAGCCTCATTCTCCCCCTCTAGAGCATGTCCCAGCATTGTTTTTTTATTCAGCACTCGTTTGCACTAGCACTGCTCTCTTAGGAGTGGTCTGAGTGGTATAGTCTCCTCACCACCTGCTTTAATTATTTGAACCCAACCTCAGAGTTTATGCCCCCCCCCACAACTGCTAGTGTGAACAAGCCCTTATAAATTTCCTGTAGTGAGAAACATCACCAAGCTTGTAAATGTCTTGCATGGGCAGTTGCTGGGAGCTCAGTTG